TTGTAAATGATCAAAAAATATTTTTGAATTAGTTTTTAATATTTTTTTTTTCAAACTTCATGTAGTTAAAAAATCTGCAATTTAAAAAATAATGCAATGTTTTCAAAAAAAATTTCCATTATCTATTCTTTAACCAACCCATGATCTCTCTAACTACTCAAATCAAAATATTATATAAATAAAACTAAAGAGGTTTTTTTCAGTATACTCTTTTTGCCTAGATCGACATATACAGAAGAAAAAGAAAAAAGCTTTGGGAGTTATCTCTTCTTCTCCAAGTCTCCAACTTTTGGTGAATCAAGATATCTCCAACGCATAGTCATATCAGTCACTTAATCTTCTAAAACCTTTGAAGGTAAATATGTTTTCTTTGTTTCTCTATAATGTAAATTATTAATTTTATCAAGCATTACTCTTATTTTTCTCTGTTATTTTTGTTTTCATACTCAGAAGATGAAGGATATCATTTCCACCAAGAAAAGAAAAGATGAAGGAAATCAAGACGATGAAAGGGAAAAAACATGGAATAAAACATATGTGTTTCGTAGAACACTTCAACATGAAGCAATTATAGTTTGAACATTGATCTAAGTTCATATCAATTTTTTTTCTTTGAAAATTAGCTGATGATTTTTCCTTTAGTTGGGTTGTATTTCTGATTTTAGTTTTTCCAATTTTTTTGTAATGATTACTATTTAATAATAATAAAATCTTATCAAGATATTCATAGATAATATTGAAAAACGAATTTTTCTATAACAATAATAAATATAAATAATATAATAATTACTGAATATATTCTGAATTATTAAAATTTAAAACCTTATCATCAATTATTAGTAAATTAATAAAATATTTTTTTAATAAACTGACACAAATATTAAAATACTAACATCATTTAAATAAATTGATATCAAAATTAACATCAATTCTTTAACCGAAACAAATATTAACATCACTTATTTGGACTGATATAAAAGTAGTATCGTTTAAAACAACCGATTCAAATATTTATAATATTTGCATCGATTTTTAATAAAACGATGTAAATTATTTGCATCACCATTTTTTACATCATTTAAATAAATGATGAAAAATTCTATTGCATCATTTATAAGTAATACAAAAAATCAAAATAAATGATACTAAATGGTCATTTTTTTGTAGTGACTTGATCTAATTATAATCTAAGTTGGTAGATATTGGAGGATATTATCTCTTGTGATGATCACAAATTCGAAGCATCTCTCCTTTTTTATAACCATTGTGTCAGAGTTATTTCTCATGATTAGTCCATATCATTTACATGTATCGTGTGATTAATTCATAAGTATATGGGACACTATTATCGATTGATTCTTATTAGGCAATCAATCATAATTTGGAAGAAAAAAAGAGATACTAATAATATAGGGAGAATTTTTAGGCTTCCGACAATATATATTTTGATGATATAATATATTGAAAAATAGACATCAAAGGATCCAAATGGGTCCTCGCTTACCAACATACACTAAGAGGGAATAAAAACGGTTTATTGAAGTATTTATGATACTTTCGGTATCGTTTTAAAAATGTTTCCTCAAAACAAATGTTTGGTTTTATTGTCCACGGGCTATGCACCACTCAGAAGTGGGGAACACACATGTGTGTGCATTCCCCTTTTGTTAAGACACTCCTCTGTTATTAAAAACTAAAGCTTATTTTATCAAACTTTATGTGTAAGTTTTACATGCTTTAGGTTTTTCAAAAGTTTAGATATTATGTGTGTTGCAATGGCGAACCTAAACTATGAATGCTATAATGTGAAATTTTTATCGATGGAGTTAGCGATAGTGTAACTATATATGTAATTTACATTCTTTAACCATGAAGTTCATAGTGAAGTTCATACTTATCTTCCAAACTATATAGTAAGGAAACAAAAAAAGTATAAAGCAATTGTAGTACTCAATCTTTTTTTTTTTTTATAGTACTCAATCTTGGCTTTGGCCAACATGACAAATTCTCAATCTCCGTATAACATAAATTAGTTTATCTTAAGTCATTTCATCAAACATTGTTTATACATTATATAATCAAATGTAAAATCCAAATAATATCTTTTGTCTTTTCTCAACGAGGTGCTAATTGATTCTTACTTTGAAGTTTGAAGGAGAAAAACCACAACCAATTTAGTCTTTCAACGTTTTGGCCTTTTGGGAAAGAAAAAAAAAATCAGTCGTATTTGCCTAAACGGTTCGTCTACACTCTACACAGCTTGACGCTTAGGCAGGTGAAGAGTCCCCCCAAAAAATATAGAACTTGCAATTTTTTCACTAACAAATTTATTTATGTTATTATATGAAGTCGTTACTCTCATCTTAATTTCTTCTATGTTATCTCTTACTTGGACTCTTCCACCAAATTTTATTATTTCGAAAATGTAATAATTAACATTATTGTCATAGTTTATTAAGAAGATTGATAAACTTTTTTCATTAATTATATAAGTAGACAAACTAGCTAAAAGGAGGTCCAATATTAAATACATATTAATATGTTGGTTACATGATTAGAAAGACATTTTGATGCTCTTGTGTCGGCTGATTATGATAACAATTTCTACGTAAAAAATTAAAAGAGAGACAAATCTTCCGGAACTCACATGCTGTAACAGTAGTCGCCAATACAACGTAAATGATATATACATTGCATAAATAAATAATGTCGGACTTCTAATCTAACCACAACAAAATGACAAAAATATTTGGCAATTTAATACATTGAAGTATGTTTTGTAACATGTTATGTGTTAGGGGAAAAAATGAAGATGGTATATTTTTTAATCAAAAATCAAGAATAAATAATAGTCTAAATTACTTACCTAACAAAAATAGTAGTAGCCGCTTTAAAAGTTCATGAACCTCCTTTAGTTGTTGGATTAAATTTATTACAATTAAGTGATTACATTAAGTTCATAGATTCCATTTATCTTGTTATTATGATCTTCCTTCAAAGATATATTGTCCATAAACGAGAAAAAGAAATGAGAACTCCATAAATTATTTAGAAGAAAAAAATGTAATGGTTAAATATACAATTAAGATTCGTTGAAAAAAGGGTGCAATAAAAAATTAAAAATGTATACAATGGATATACATTGCATAAAAAATAGTATACATAAAATCTTTACTTTTTTTTTTTTGGGTCAAACATAAAGTCTTTACTACCATCAGATAACTCCATACAAAGTTACGATGAAAAATCTAAAATACTTAAACAAAACTTCATCCGAAATAAATAGTTTTACACACTCAAAATCTCGAAGGGTCTTCTTTGTAGATGCAAGGTTTTTGTCTGATGCAGTGGCTGACTAATACAGGACGTGGTTCTAGAAGACTTAAGAAGACATGATTGAAGGATGAATGAAAAGGAAAAATAACTATTCTAAACTTGGGAGAATTGAAGTTTGATAAGGAAAAGGAAAAGAGCAAAAAGGAAAAAGGCTTTTCCTCATGAGATTTGGAAAAGTTCTCTTATGTGATTTGGGAATCATGGTGGCTATATATAGAGGTGCTAGGCACGTCCTAGAGAAGCAAGAGAGCTGAAGCATAAAGAATAATCTTTGAGAGCTTTCTGGTTTTGTGTGCGGCTTTGTTTCGCGATTGGTGCTTGTGTGATCAAGCTTCTTTGTTCGTCGGTGTGACGTGTGTGTGAAGTTGCTCCAGAGACTTGGAGTATTGAAGTCTAGGCTCATGAGGAGTTTAGCCCAAGATTAGGTTATCTTGGTTAAATCTAAACTCAGGGGGAGTTTAGTTAAGGGTATAGTTCAGAGCGGTAGTTCAAGAGGGGTGTGCTTGATTTACGCGTTTGCAAATTGGTTGTATTTGTTTTCTTGTTCTAGTGAAATCGAAATCTGGACTTGGTCCCGAGGAGTAGGAAAAACCGAACCTCGTTAACAAATTTTGTGTCTCATTTACTTTCTACACTTTATTATTGCCTCATCCGCACTTACATTCTTACCACAACGTGCATAGTTAAAAACGTTAGCAAATATTGCTAAAATAAAAATCATCATGGACCAATGATGATGTATATGGTTGACTGGGATAACAAAAACTTTTGGTGTGATGTGTGTGTTTGCATACATTTTTTATATAAAAGCAAAAGACTTTTAACGTGTGTGTGTGTGTGTTGTGACACTCGCTTTATTTTTTCTAATTTCATAATCATAATCTTTTCGAATATAATTGCTTCCGGCTCTTGGAAACTTATTTAGATTATTATTGGCTATTCCAAATCGGTTGATATGATAAGGTACCTGAGAGGCTTCGCTAATTTTTTTCTAGACAAGAAAACTTATAATTACGTGACTACCCCTCTAAGCTTTATATAAACAACTCCATTCTTGTTCCTCTCTTGGACATCGACATCGACATCTCTCTTTTCTCTCTATCTCTTACCGGAAAATTCAATACCGACTAATTACATCTCCGGCGTTAAAGACTCCAAACTCGAATCGAAAAAATGGCGAAAGGAGGAAACAAACTGATGAAGCTGAAGTCAGTTTTGAAGAAGTTCAACTCATTCAACAGTACCAAGATTAACCAACCATCGTCGGCTACAGCCAGTCACGGCCGATCCTCAGCGGTGAGTGCATTTCCCTCTGAATATCTTCAAACTGTCTACGTTGGACGAACACGTCGACCATACCGTGTGAGCTCTGACGTCGTGAGCCACCCGCTCTTCCAGCAGCTAGCCGCGGTTGATGGCGGCGAGGATGGTTCGATCTCCGTGTCTTGTGAAGTTGTCTTGTTTGAGCATTTGCTTTGGATGTTGGAGAACGCAGACGCAGACGAATCATGCCCTGAGTCAGTCCACGAACTCGTCGAGTTCTACGCATGTTAACTTCTTCTACCATTAATTTTAGGTCCAAAATATATATATATATATATTATGATTTATGTTTGTATATTCTATACTTCGTATACTTATACAGTCTTTTCGTTTAAAAGAAAAACTATTTTTATCTGTTAAATGATACAACAACGGATAAATAAAATGTTTTAGTGTGTAAAACATTAATGATTTACATTGTAATATAAAAATTAAAAATAAATCAATTATCAATTATTAATGATACAACAACGGATAAATAAAATGTTTTAATGTGTAAAACATTAATGACTTACATTGTAATATAAAAATTAAAAATAAATCAATTATTAATGGATGAAAAGTCATAAAACCAATTGCAATGTCAATAATGTTGATCAAAATATTTGGATATATACAAAATACTCGGAGCTAGGACGTCGGTCAAATGAGTTGAACCGGACTTCGTGAACTAGATCAATCACAGGTTACAAAATTTCAACCCTAATCAATTCATCTTATTTCATTGATTGGCCCGTATATTTAAAATATCTCACAAACAAATTAAAATATTCGTGACTATTTTGATTAATGTAAAATTTACCTAAAATTTATCTTCTTAAAAAAGAAACACATACAATTACAAATTAATCTTCCACACACACACAAAAACCCCTCTTCTATAATTTTTTTTTTTTTTTGTTTTCTCAGGAGATATGCTGACATGTTGTAAAAAGGTTTTGCATGTTCACAAATTAGTTCCTGAAATCCACATGTAAAACCAGTTCAAATGTTTCCCATTCTCGCCAATCTGTTTTATGACGTTTTACAATTCCAAAAAGTATATATAGTAGTAACTCAAAAGTAATATACTCTTTAATTTGTCCCCCACAGGAACATTATCCCATGGCGGCAGCACAGTTGGACCCGACCATAACAGTATACTGAACAACTTATTAGATTACGCATTCACAAATTATAAACTATATTCAAATTCTTGACAAATCAACCACACTACGTATACATCCATGATCCATGTAACCCTTAAAACTTCAAATATAAAGTATTTACACCAAATCCGATCAGTTCTTGACAATCAACCACAAGCCATGCATATATATATATATAAAGTATATACGTTTGTAGCATATTGTTCATTAGTCTAGTTGATTGACACACATAACAGTCGTTTTCAATAACAACAATGGACGAGAGAAGACAAGAAATGTGCACATGTTTTCGTACAAGAGTTTTTATTTTATTTTTTTGTTAAATTTCAAATCACACTTTGACCACCAAATCCTTTCACATCTAACATATATATATATATATGTCCTAGAAAACTCATATCGTCATTGACAAAGAATGGAGAAGAAAGAGAGAAAATAAATAAAAAAAACCAGGAGCACACACAAAAAAAATGACCTGATTTTACAATTACACCCCAAAGTTATCATCCCTAATAGTTTTCCATCAGTATATATGATTAATTAAAAGATAACAAGAATCATTGTAACAAATGAAAAGTTTTAAAAGATTTTTTTTTTTTTTTTTGTCACTTGGCTTGTATTTACTCTTCCTTTTCTGCTACTGCATCCCCATCTGCAAAAGACAAGACAAAACCATCAATGTTGCTTTAGTTTCTCAAGAATCACCACAACAATACTGACCAATCTATTGCTTGATTTCTCATCAAACAATTTGTAAAGTTTCTTGTGATTGTTAAGGTCAAAAGATCATAAGACCATGGTTGCCATTATACATCTAAAGGCTTAGTCCGGCCCATTTTGAGCCCAGCACGTTTCTAGCCCTGATTAATCATGATTTTAAACCCATTCCTGATTAAACATGGCTTGACAAACAGGATTTGAGTTCATGGTATGATTCCTAAGATAGGAGAGGTCTTTTCTACCAAAAGAAAAGATAGGAGAGGTCCTTGAGCTTACCGGAGTTGTCATCATCATCAGGTTGATGATCTTTAGGATTGTTCTCCATGCATTTTAGCAAGTACTTGAAAGTCTCGACCTCGCAAGGGATGGTGAGCGCGCCACTCTGATCAAAACCAAACTCTTCCTCTGCTTTCTCAAGCAACACCTTGAACAGGGAGTGGCTGAGATAGCTTGTCGGTATGATAAACCTCCTTAGCTCTGGTCCAACATAAACCGCAAGATACCCTTTAGGAACATCATGAGGCGGCTCAGGGCTTTGGCAGTTCTCCTCATCCGAGTCAGCGTTCTTTACACCTAACAGCCTCTTGTTGATGGCCGGTGCAATCAGCTCAGCCGCCAATGGAGGAACATCTGACTTGGGGCCTATCGTTACGGTTTGCCATTTTTGCAGAATCTCCTTAAGCCTCACGATCTGCCTGATTCCTGTTAGCTTTGCCGCGTTGTTTTCATCCATTTGCCTAATTATATAAGACCCCGCACACTCTTTTCGTTAATGAGAGATCAAATGATGTCACATATGATCTTCTTCTTCCCTTGTTGTAGCTGCATTTACAAATACCATAACCTAAATTGCATCAACAATAAAGAAATACACACACATTACACAATTCTATGACCCCCTAAGTCAATTTGAAACATAACTATCTATAAGTCTTAGATTAAATATATTACTTGAAGAGAAAAATAAAAGAAATATATATATCAGCAGCCAAAACAGAGGACCCATCCACATCTAGTACAGAGAAGCAGATCCCAATGCCGTCTTTGTCACGGAATGTTTTTTTCTTTTCTTTTCTCAGATTCATTGCAAACCACAAATATTGTTTTGAGTTTGGTTTTTATGAACATGGAATCTTTCGTAACCCTTTAAATCAGATCAATCTCAAGAAAACATCAAACCTTTAAGGGGTTTTTTTTTTAGTATCTCAAGAACACAGTTAAAAAAATTGAATCTAGATTTAGATCCGGATCCGTTATATATATATATAAAAAAATCTCAGAAAATTAGGAATAGCTCTCAGATGGAAACAAACACCCAACCCTAAAATCTATGAAACAAAGTCGTGTAAAATACGTAAGTATATACATTATCAGAAAATATAAGATTATTACCTGAAGAGGAAAACGAGTTGAAACGTTCCTAGTTATGTTTTACGAAGACACGATGAAGAAGAACGCACCATGCAAAAAGGAGCTCCCGAAGGTTTTGTTTTTGTGTTTTTGTTTTTTTTTTGGCTTCGATCTTATTTTAGGTTTTTTGTTTTCTGTTTGTAATCGGAGACTGGGAGAGCTCAAAAACAATTATATGAGGAAGAGATGTTTTCAAGTACTTTTCTGAAACTAAAACAAAATATTAAAAAATAAAAAACAATGAAAACTGAAAAAAAGGAAAAAAAATCAATATAGAATCTAAATATATTTGGTGGGGTAAAATTAAAAAAAAAGGAATTAGGGAGAAGCGAATTTTGGGAGATGAGGATTGGCTTTATTTGGATTTTTATAGTTTCCATTGATTCTCTCTCGCATGATCATTTTTCAGATTTTTTTTTTAAAAAAATTTTGGCTGGCTTTCCCGTCACTTTCGGCTTTTCAGGTTCTTCTGTTTTATTTTCTCACCTTCTTCTCGATGATGTCCTAACCCAAAGTTAACTTTATTTTACAATATGACCCCTGTACTCTTACTTTATCAACTAATCTCCTCAAATCCGTGTGCCTTTTGTTAAAGTTTATTTAAGAAAAATAAAATTATGTGATATATGCGTAAGTAAGTTGATTAGCTTATGTCCAAAAAACAAAATTAAGATGAATTGTATGTCCAGAAGAATTTGTTTTTAAAAAAGTGGGTTTATTTAGTTCTAGTGAAATATTAATTAAACTGTGGATTTCTTATTAGTGTATAAGATTGTGGCCTCGTGGGTGTATTTCCTTATGGATTATGGATGGATTTGGCAAAATCTTCTCACATGTGAAATGTTTTTTTGATTCTTTAGATGTCTCAAAATTAATTTCTTAAAATTAGACATTTTAAAAATCTAATGAAGTGGGCCGGAATGACCATTAAGACCATCAGGAACCTGATTAGCCTGTTGGTTTGGTTGGAATTAGACTAATCTAATGGGCTCGAAGGTGTGGTCTGTAATTAATTTAGTTCTTATTTGTTTCTTTTTTCTTTTGTGACCTATTTTGTTGATATGTAAGTAACTAAATATGACCTAGGTTGATATATATATATATATATATATGTTTCAATTAAGAAGAGTGATGATTAAGTTAACTTAAGATGAGAGTTAAAGTGTGTTAGAGTGAAATGAGAACAAGCGATTGTGAGCCAATTACTTCACTCAATTTCTTTGAATATTTGTTTTCAAGATACATAAATCTAAAAATTAAAATAAAATTTGAGTGATGGACGAACACGGAACATCCTCCACCTAGTAAATGATGCATCGGTCATGCACACAATCGTAAGCACATCACAGCAGAGCACAACAACAACAACAACAACGAAAAGGAAGAGTCGTATTGAAAGTCTTATTTTAGTTTGTTATGCATTTTTTTTGTTGTTTTATATTATTAAATTTTATTTGTGGTTGGGAATAACTCTTTGGGGCTATTCGCATCTTCCTTGTAACACAAAAGGCATCTTTCGCTCTCGATTCTGAGCATCTGCCAAATATTCATTCATTCTTCCACTTGCACCACATCCTACGGCTTAGCTTCCCTTACTCAACTTGCTCTTTCATCCAACGGTCCTCATCTCATCTCTCTCATCCCCATCCTTTATATAACCACTGATACCGTTCTCGTATTTTTTTGCATATCGGAATCCAAAGGGCAACAACACACAAATATATATATATATATCAAATAACCTAAGATGGCGACCTTGGAGTCTCCGTTAGAGGCTTTGGCTTTTGAGTACGCTAGCTTCGGTGTTTTCGCCGTCGTCAACAACGTATGGACATGGATCGCCGTCGTTACTGCCGCCGTCAGCTTCTGGAGGATCAGAGTCACAACCATCGGGGACGGAGACGGACATCATGCATGTGTCTTGTTAGAGGAATTATCCGGCTCGATGTCTGAACACGACGGATCCAGACGTCTCGAACCGAAATCATCAAGAACCGGTCCGGTTAAAGAAACGGTTGCGAAAACGCTGCAATCAAGAACTAATACGGTTGATGATCGGGTGAAAGAAACGGTTACGAAAACGGAGCCGTTAGTGTGGGATGAAGACGGAGTGACGAAGGGGGAGAAACTGACGATGTACTACGAGGTAGACTTTGACGTTGAGGTCGACGGTGTGAGGTGTCTTGACGGAGAGTTGATAACGGCCGGAGGAGGTTTGGGTTATTGTGGCGGTGAATGGTGGGAGAAATGGGAAAGAGTGATGAGGATGAGAAACGGTGATGACGGTTGGTATCGTTACGTGGATTTAACGGTGATCAACGGAAATGTCGTGAGGTTATGGGATGATTCTAACAGAACCAGTAACGGCCGGAGGTGTCTAAATTAGAGTGGCTCCTTTATTTTGGAAACTTTAATCTTTGAAACTTTCTTTGTTTAATTTTTTGTTGGTTAAGTTGTGAATACATTTGGGGACAAGGAGGAGGAACGCTTTAATTAGAAGAAAAACAATATTCATGAATCACGATTTCCAGTTAGGCCCATATAAAATTGACAACACGCATGTACTGTTTAGGCCCATTCAAAACTTGACTGCAGCACATGTAGTTGTTCGTGTTGCCAGGAACAGTCCGGTCCAGTCTAACCTAGAACCCGCAATATCCACACGTACATCTCTTTACACTTAGTCCTAGTCTAGTTAAGCTCGGTCAGGTTCAAACAGGACTATACTGTCTCCAGCTGGGGGTTTATTAATATAAATATTAGGGTGTAAACGATTAATATATATCAGGGTAATCAAAATGGATTACATTATAACATATTTGAAATTCTGATAAACAATATCAATCTCTGAGACCGCATTAACGCAATGTAATATCATATCATTTACTACCAGCTTCAATATATGTATAAAAAAATGGAAGTATAGTTTAACCAAATTTTAACATGAGTAAAAATGTGAAGTGTTATAAATTTGATGCAAGTGACGACGTTATGGAGATGTTTCTGGAACGAAGACAATGATCAGAACTGATGTCACACACGGCACTTAAGTCTCAAACATTGACATGGTGAAGATTGAAGAACTTAGTTTCTTGTGCAGACCGAAGAGGCTGCTAAGACCATCACAAAGGTAACTTTTACTCATTAATTAGACCTAGCTAGCTCACCTTAATGTATGATTGGATCTCCCAAAAATAAAACATACGAAGATGGGACATTTTTTTATTAAGTGGGTCCTTTACAGGAAAGCATCATTAAAGTTTAAATAGAGCCAAAACTTTTAACATATTTTGGTGTATACATTGATATACCAAATTGCTAATTTACCAACTAGATCGAGTTGATTAATCAAATACTGTATGAATTGCTGTTTGTTTTAAAATTCATTAAAAAAATAAAATAAATAAATAAAAAAATGTTAACTCGTTTTAACATTCCATGTAATAGATATAATTTACCCACATGAAATGATACAAAAAAAGTGGAGCAAAAAATGTGGTGTGGCAAGCAATTTAAATTAATGGCAGATAAAGATTTTGTCTCTTGAAAGCTCTTTTGTCAATTCATAACAAAACGTGGACCCAAACTTCTGAAACCTCTTTGCAAAAAAATAATAATTGGGGCATTGGTGACCAGTCCTCCAATAATTCCACATTTTTTGTTCTTTTTCGTAATCCGTTTGTTACTTAGTTATTATATAGAGTTTATGTATACGCAATGGAATTATGGACAGTCTCTCTTTTGTATTGGCTCTGGCCACTTCTCTGTTCTGTAATATGCGGTGCATTTAATTTTATTACATTTCCCCCATAATCAAAAGAGAGATGCTGTACCCCATTCATTCACCTTCTTACCCCTATATTCTTTACGTACACACGTAAAATAAATGAAATATCTGAGGGTGATTAAGTAAATGTTTCACGGACCTACGGCTTTAAATTCTTCTTACCCACCACTACTTCTTGTTCATTTTCAGACATAATTAAGTAACCCTAGTTTGGTCTCTTTCACTCAAAGTCTTAGCCGCGAGAGAGAGAGAGAAGAGAAGCTATGGCTCCTCCACATAAGCTTTTACTCTCCGCCATTGTCTTTACCGTCATTGTAGCTGCCACCACCGGACATGGTCGTGGTAATGATGGTGGTGGAGAAGATATCGTGCATTCCTCTTGCGAGCACGCGAGCTTCCCATCACTATGCGTCCGTACTCTTTCATCTTACTCCGGTCCAACCATCACCAACCGCCGGGATTTAGCTCAAGCCGCGGTCAGAATCAGCATCTCACACGCGCAAAGCGCAGCTAAGAAACTCGAGGCGGTGAGAGACTCGGTGGGGAAGAAGAAGCTGGAGAAAGGGCCGCTTGTGGACTGTGTGGAGATGATTGGAGACTCCGTGGACGAGCTGAGCCGTACGCTCGGCGTTTTGAAGCATCTCCGCGTCTCAGGCGGTTCGGCTAAGGAGTTCCGGTGGCAGATGAGCAATGCACAGACGTGGGCTAGCGCTGCGCTTACTGATGACGACACGTGTCTTGATGGGTTTCAAGGTATCGACGGTGAAATCAAAACGGAGGTGAAGCGATGGATGACCAAGGTGGCCAGGGTTACGAGCAACGCGCTTTACATGATCAACCAGCTAGATGACACACGTGGCAAACCCCATGTCGTACATCTTTGATGTTAAATATAAATAAGCTAGATCATCGTTCTAATGGACGGTCTTTAATTGTGTGTTGCCTCTAGTTTTCATTCGTGTGTGTTAATTGCAACAAGATATCAAAAAAATGTCTACTATATATAGAAATGAGTTTTTGAAACTAGACAATGTCCTTTTCAGTAGTTCTGAATTTCTGATCATATCATTATTGAGATAAACGGACTTTTTAATATTCTATGTCACTATACGTATTATGGATCCGTTGAGATTCGATTGAAAGATAGACTTGTGTAAGTTGTGTAGCTCTCGTACGTCATGTGATATTGTCTTCATATGAAACTGAAATCCGATATATAAGAGATTGATAACGTATGTATGAGTGTGTATTGTTTGACCAAGCTCGTGAGAAACAAGGCCCAGCAAGAAGGCCCATCATCAACATGACATAATAAGTCGTCGTCGAGGCTACTGATGAATTCGGGATGCATTCATCCACAGATGGACAGTGGACTATTTGCGCAAGAAGATCCGAATGAGCCAGCAGAGATATAAAAGAAACTTTTGGCATGTTTCTCCAATTATATATGATCAGCATTTTGAACAACTTTTTAACGAGTCCCATAGAGAAAAAAAATATATTTAGGGCCCCTTAAATGATCATTCCAGTTGATACTTATTCATGACGACAAAGAACTTTTAGTTTCCTCCTTTCATAATGAAATCAAATATCTAAAAATGTAGCTAGAAGCCTAGAATCTTTCATCTCCTAATTCACCCATACCAATATAATGTAATCTTAATCAAATTAATTTATTAGTAGATTGAAGTTAAATTTGGTGTTGTAAACAGTTTCTTAAAGTATATGAAAATCGCCCATGTAACATATATAGAATACAATCAAAGAAGGGACTATTTTATTTTTATCAATAATGTGATGTAGTGATATAATATAAGATAACGCATGTTAAGGATTAGTTTGAAAACAATGTATTTTCTTTCTTTAAATTTCAAGGAAGTTGTAAAATGTAGTATTTTCTTTAAATGGATTTGACTAATCTATAGGTCCACGGCGAAAGAGATGTCGCAAACCAGCTCATGTCATCACCAAACGATTTGAGCCAATGTAAAATTAGGGTGGGAGTGTGACCACGTCAGGTGGGATTTGCTGTGAGAGAGGAGGACCTTCTCTTTTCTTTTTTTCTTTTTCTTCTCTTTTAAAAAGAAATTAAACTTATCAAGAAGTACGATCGAATATTCGACAAAGGGACATATACAAAACCCACAAAAGGTAAAGACTGAAACCGTCAACGGTTAATCCACAACTATATCTCTTTGCATTGAAAATAACATGGGATCGTCCTTAAACATTCTATGCTATACTATCCCAGTACAGTACCGCTTTACAATACAAACCGTGATGGCCTCTTTCTTTACTGTCTCAAAGTACTTAAAGTATTAGTGGTATAAACTTTATATAGTTCATAAATAGTTGCATGAAAATAGTAAAACATTGTACAATAAGTCAAATCCAAAAATTCGAGTTTCTCTAGTCTAGCTGTAACTAAACTTCCTCCCAAGATCTCTGATAACCCATCTAACTCCAGAGTGCGTTTCTGTGGTTACGTATAATATATAGTAATACCAAGTTACCAACTGTCCAATTCATTAAACCGGCTATAAAAAATATTATGTTGTGATTTTGGACAAGCTTGTCCACTTTCCTCCAGATTCATATTTCTTAGACACATAGGACTGGTTTCGAAACTAGTCACACTCATTTTACCCTCCTCGGCAATGAACACGACCTAGAATCTTGGACTCTGTTATAGATTCCAACATATATACATGCATGAAGCTATAGTTTGGAGTTCATAATCTAATACATTTCAATCTTATATTACTTTTGTAATTAGAGAATTTTGAACGGAACAAAAAAGAATATCTGGGAGCTCTTTTAGGCCACAAAATCACTTCATAAGGTCGATTTTTGCATTCATCTAATCTCTCCAAAACGTCTGTCTTCATCTTCACGCATTTATTGCTAAGGGACATCATGTCGCTACTCGTTGCCACTTATTTGAATGGACATATATCCTATCATTCCACACACTATACTATATAGCCTATACATATATACATGTCCATTTTATAAGTATGTATAGTATTTTTATAAGTTTTGGATCAAAACCTAAAAAAACTAACAAAGAGGTCCCAATTTTTTTGTTTTTTTTTTGGGGGTCATTTATACTGTTTACAATTTACAGAGGTCAAGACGAAGCAAACAAACTTCCACCCACATGTAAAACACGATGTGTTTCTTATAAAATACTAATAAGTTCTTGATCCCTAATACCAAATCCACAATTAGCTAATTAGCCATGAAGCCAATTTAAATTTGGTAGCTTTCAAATTTATAAAATAAAGATATAGAGATTACTAACTATACATTACATTACTAAATTTTTAGGTTCCAGACTCGTCTATAACGCGATTGTAGTTTATACAACTAGAAGCTAACTATGTAAACCTTCACAAATTTTGATTTATTAAAAATAAACTCCACAGTTTTTTTAACAGTTTTCTTTATTTACTGAAATTCAGAAAATAATGTTCTTGACACTAAAAATGTATCTCAATGAATATAATGAGTAGTCAAAAATATAGTAATGCACTTTGATAAAATAACTAGCTAGTCAAATTAGTAATTTCTTGACAGCTCGTAAAAATACCATTATTAACGAAGTCTTACAACAATAGTAAACCTTAATGACAAACACTCATCAAAGTTTAACTTTTCAGTAAAGTTTTTTTTTTTTTTTTTGGCAAATAATACTATTTGTAGAGAGAATAATATTAAAATGTTCAAGCTGCCAGCACCAGCGAATATGTCGGCTTCATGAGCATTATTAAAAATAAAATTATAATAAAAATTAAATATCCCCAAAGAAAAATAAAAAAAAAAAGGAGGAAGAAGAAAAAGCTGTTCCTGTGCTTTAGCAGACCTTTTGGTAGTTGTCCTGGTCGCTGATCATCCCTTTCCGACAACTCTGATGCTCTTTCTCTCTCGCTTGAGCTCTCTGTCTGTCTGTCTTAATCTCTTTGCCTGCGATTCTATTTCTCCTTCCTTCTCTTCCGATTCTTTTTATCCATTTTCCCAGATTTTCTTTTTATAGAAACCCCTCTCTTTGATGCGCCAAGAAAGGAAAGCACAAGAGAGCAGCTGAATCAAGTTGAACTTGTGGGTTTTGGTTTTGTGGGTTTCTCTTTCTGAATTACCTGACTCGAGTTGAAGAGCTTCATTGAAAAGAAAAAAAAAAGATTCCTTTTTTAAGGTCTTGTGCTTTATATGTCTCTCCGGAGATTCCGCGTCTGAAAAGTCGTGGCCTTTGATCTCTTTGAGATACTTAAAATTTCCCAAGAATTGGAGTCTCTGTCGGAGATATAAAGCAGAGATCTTGGAGTCTCCATTTCGGATTAACGACTTTTTTTTTTCCTCTGCGGTAACTTGGATTGTAAAGAGTGGAGGAGCTTGAAAGCTAGGCAAAGAACTGTGATTCCCATTCCTTTGCAGTGAAGTGAAAGCTTGGGGCTTTTAGGTGTAAGCTGAAGATGAAGCTCTCACGTAAAGAGCTCAGCTTTGTATAAGCTCAGATTTAGATTATTATTGGGTTTGATTCTTCAGAGGAACTTTAGGAGTAAAAGATCAGTTAATCATGAAAGCTCCTTCATCAAATGGAGTTTCTCCCAATCCCGTTGAAGGTTTGTGTTTTCTCGTATTTGATCAAAGGTCTATCCTTTTAGTAAAAATTCATTGCTGGATTTGTATAGATTCAGTTGTAAATAAAGAGGTCAGATTTCTTGAGAAATCCTGAACTTAAGTACCTGAATTGAGTTGAGTTTTGCTTATTTCTACTTTAGAAGTAAGCTAAGTAACTGTTGTATTGATTTATCCAGTCCCGTACCTTTGAGCTTGTGGGGTTTAGTGCAGTTCTCTGATGGTAATAACTGAAGGATGATACAAATATTTGAAGTAATCACAGCTTTGGTGTTGTGTGAATGCAGGGGAAAGGAGAAATATAAACTCAGAACTATGGCACGCTTGTGCTGGGCCACTGATTTCGTTGCCTCCGGCAGGAAGTCTTGTTGTTTACTTCCCTCAAGGTCACAGTGAGCAAGTATGTTGTTTAATAAAGTTTTGGTATTATTCATGGCTGATCAAGAATGAGTCTCTGATTGAAATTTCATGCTGCTGTCCTGTTTTTTTTTTTCCCTTTTTCTTAGGTCGCAGCTTCAATGCAGAAGCAGACTGACTTTATACCGAGTTACCCGAATCTTCCTTCCAAGCTCATCTGCATGCTTCATAATGTTACTTTGAATGTATGACCTCTAATGTACTTTGAATGCTTCATAATCTTTCATTATCAATAATGGCCTCTACATTTAGATCTCTTAACATATTCTCGGCTAATTTTGATTGCAAACCAGGCTGATCCTGAGACGGATGAAGTCTATGCACAGATGACTCTTCAGCCAGTAAACAAAGTAGGTTGCATTTCAGTCAGTAACTCGGTTCTCAGTGTATTTGAGGTGTAGGGACTAATTGTTCTGAGAAACTTGTTGAACAGTATGACAGAGATGCATTGCTTGCTTCTGACATGGGTCTTAAGCTAAACAGACAACCTAATGAATTTTTCTGCAAAACCCTCACGGCGAGTGACACAAGTACTCACGGTGGATTTTCTGTACCCCGAAGAGCAGCTGAGAAAATCTTTCCTGCTCTGGTGTATATACAATGCTCTATTATATATCTGATAATTAGGATCTCTTTATTGTATTAGCTTCTTACATTGTTGGCAATATTCTGTTAGGATTTCTCGATGCAACCACCTTGTCAGGAGCTTGTTGCTAAGGATATTCACGACAACACATGGACTTTCAGACATATTTACCGAGGTTTTTTCCTTGATTTTGATAGATTAACTTATTCTATCAATTTGGCTAAGTAAACGGTTCTTAGGTTTTCAATATGTTGATAATTTTCAGGTCAACCAAAAAGGCACTTGCTAACTACAGGCTGGAGTGTGTTTGTCAGTACAAAAAGGCTCTTTGCTGGAGACTCTGTTCTTTTTATAAGGTATATCAATCTCAATGTGCCAATGCTCTTTCGGTATTTATTTGTCAAGATGCTAACTTCTTTTCACTTTCAATTAAGAGATGGAAAGGCGCAACTTCTGCTGGGTATAAGACGTGCGAATAGACAACAGCCTGCACTTTCTTCATCTGTAATATCAAGCGATAGCATGCACATCGGAGTTCTTGCTGCTGCAGCTCATGCTAATGCTAACAACAGTCCTTTCACCATCTTCTACAACCCAAGGTGGCGTATCTATGTTTCCTATTTTCTCCTATAACCATACTACATGCTTCTTTCAAGGCAATTTCTGAGGGAATTACAACCGAGTTTTTGCAGGGCTGCTCCCGCTGAGTTTGTGGTTCCTTTAGCCAAGTATACCAAAGCGATGTATGCTCAAGTTTCCCTCGGTATGCGGTTTAGGATGATATTTGAGACAGAAGAATGTGGAGTGCGTCGGTATATGGGTACAGTTACCGGTATCAGTGATCTTGATCCAGTGAGATGGAAAAACTCTCAGTGGCGGAATCTTCAGGTAGTTTAAGTACAAAAAGTCATGATAAAATGCCAGATTTGTCTTCTTGATACATTGCACCTTTCATTTTAGTTATCCCTTGTTTTTATTTCTGCTAAAGATTGGATGGGATGAGTCAGCTGCTGGTGATCGGCCTAGTCGAGTTTCAGTCTGGGACATTGAACCAGTTTTAACTCCTTTCTACATATGTCCTCCTCCATTTTTTCGACCTCGGTTTGGAGGGCAACCCGGAATGCCAGGTAAAATCTTTGTACCATTTCATTTCGACACATCATCTTTGAATCTCCTCAAGGATGGAAATTCCGGTGCTCTTGCAGATGATGACACTGACATGGAGTCTGCACTGAAGAGAGCAATGCCATGGCTCGATAATAGCTCGGAGATGAAAGACGCTTCGAGTACAATATTTCCTGGTCTGAGTTTAGTTCAGTGGATGAATATGCAGCAGCAGCAACAGAACGGCCAGTTACCATCTGCTGCTGCACAGCCAGGTTTCTTCCCGTCAATGCTTTCACCAACCACGGCATTGCACAACAATCTTGGCGGCACTGATGATCCCTCCAAGTTACTGAGCTTTCAGATGCCGCAAGGGGGGGTTTCCTCGTCAAATCTCCAATTTAACAAACCGAACGTGCAATCCCCAATGTCCCAGTTGCCTCAGCCATCAACTACGTTGTCCCAACAACAGCAGCTGCAGCAATTGCTTCACTCCTCTTTGAACCAGCAGCAACAACAATCACAGTCTCAACAACAGCAACAACAACAGTTGCTGCAGCAGCAACAACAGTTGCAGTCTCAACAACACAGCAATAACAATCAATCGCAGTCTCAACAACAACAACAACAACAACAACAACAACACTTGCAGCAGCAGCAGCAGCAACAACAACAACAATTACTGCAGCAACAACATCAACAACCGTTACAGCAACAGACTCAGCAGCAGCAGCAAAGAACGCAGTCATTACAATCTCACTCTCGTTCACAGCCACAGCCACAACCACAGCCACAGCCACAGCCTCATAAGTTGCAGCAACTTCAGCTTCCTCAGAATCAGCTTTACAATGGTCAACAAGCAGCGCAGCAGCTTCAGGCGCAACAACATTTGCAACCACAGCTAGTTTCGGGATCAATGGCAAGCAGTGCCATCACTCCTCCATCTAGCTCCCATAATCAAAGCTTTCAACAGCAACAACAGTCTAAGAAGCTTCAACAAGCTCACCACCATTTAGGTGCGAGCACTTGCCAGAGTAGTGTAATTGAAACCAGCAAGTCATCATCCAATCTGATGTCTGTACCGCCGCAAGAAACACAGTTTCAACGACAAGTAGAACAGCAGCAGCCTCCTGGTCTCAGTGGGCAGAATCAGCAAACACTTTTGCAGCAGAAAGCTCACCAGGCACAGGCCCAACAAATATTTCAGCAGAGTCTTTTGGAACAGCCGCATTTACAGTTTCAGCTGTTGCAGAGATTACAACAGCAGCAGCAACAACAACAGCAGCAGCAGTTTCTTTCACCGCAGTCTCAGTTACCACACCATCAATTGCAAAGCCAGCAATTGCAACAGCTGCCTGCTCTCTCTCAAGGTCATCAGTTTCCGTCGTCCTGCATTAACAATGGCTTATCGACGTTGCAACCACCTCAAATGCTGGTGAGCCGGCCTCAGGAAAAACAACACCCACCTGTTGGAGGAGGGGTCAAAGCTTATTCAGGCATCACAGATGGAGGAGATGCACCTTCTTCTTCAACCTCGCCTTCTACCAACAACTGTCAGATCTCGTCTTCAGGCTTTCTCAACAGAACCCAAAGCGGGCCAGCAATCTTGATACCTGATGCAGCGATTGATATGTCTAGTAATCTTGTTCAGGATCTGTACAGCAAATCCGATATGAGGCTAAAACAAGAACTTGTGGGTCAGCAAAAGTCCAAAGCTAGTTTAACAGATCATCATCTAGAAGCATCTGCCTCTGGAACTTCTTACGGTTTAGATGGAGGCGACAACAACAGACAACAGAATTTCTTGGCTCCAACTTTTGGCCTTGACGGTGATTCCAGGAACAGCTTGCTCGGTGGAGCTAATGTTGATAATGGCTTTGTTCCTGACACTTTGCTCTCGAGGGGATACGACTCCCAGAAAGATCTTCAGAACATGCTTTCAAACTATGGAGGAGTTACAACTGACATTGGTACAGAGATGTCTACTTCAGCTGTAAGAACTCAATCTTTTGGTGTCCCCAATGTTCCTGCCATTTCAAACGATCTAGCTGTCAACGATGCCGGTGTTCTTGGTGGTGGATTATGGCCAGCTCAGACTCAGCGAATGCGAACTTATACAAAGGTTCGGTTTTGCTCTGATCCCTGCTTGTTGAAATTTGGATTATGTTTTCGGTTTGACAAATGTTGTTAACTTTTGTACAGGTGCAAAAGCGAGGTTCAGTTGGGAGATCAATAGACGTCAACCGTTACAGAGGTTATGATGAGCTGAGGCATGATCTAGCGCGCATGTTTGGGATCGAAGGACAGCTTGAGGATCCGCAAACATCAGACTGGAAACTTGTTTATGTCGATCATGAAAACGACATCCTCCTCGTTGGCGATGATCCATGGGAGTAAGTAGAGAGCAATTACATTCATACATTGGACAGTTAGAAGTTCCTTTTTTAATAACCTTAAAAAACTTGGTTTCTGCAGGGAATTCGTTAACTGTGTTCAGAGCATAAAGATCCTTTCATCAGCTGAGGTTCAACAGATGAGCTTGGATGGGAACTTTGCGGGTGTACCAGTTACTAATCAAGCTTGCAGTGGCGGTGATAGTGGCAATGCTTGGAGAGGTCATTATGATGATAACTCAGCCACCTCGTTTAACCGGTGAAGGCAGAAGATCTCTCACAGACAAAGATTCTTTTTTCTTGGTTTTGTAATATAACTTTTCTTTGATAGCACTGTCTCATGTTTCCACTGGGCACTGTAGAGCATTTACCTGTAAAATATCTTCCACTAAGTTTAAAAGAAGGTTTTATTTGATGCGAGACTGTGAGTCATAGTTTCTTCCGAGTTAACTGTTCAATTTGAACCGATAGTAACAAAAATGCTAAGCGAGTCAATAGTTAAAGAAGGGAAAATGAGATCAACAGTAAAATCACAATCATCTTTCCAAACTCAAGTCTTTATTCAAAATTATGCTCAGGCCGTTTACGAAAAAAATTTCCACAATTGGGATACAAGTTGCATGTTACAAAGATATAACATAACTAAGAAAGTATAGCCATCACATCTGAAGCTCTGAGGGCAATGTAGTTGGAACCATCTTTACCCTTGAAGTCGTTACCAGCATACTTGGAGTAAAGAACTGTGCTTCCGGTCGATATTGGTAGTGGCTTAACGCTACCATCCTCCTCTAGGGAACCAGGTCCAACTGCTATCACCTGCCACAGAATGCAGAGGAGAATATGTATTATATTATAGCTTGAGTTCAAACTGAGAAGGAAGTCTCAGATTCCCAGGATGGACATAATATCACATGTGCACCTACCGTGCCAATAGAAGGCTTCTCTTTGGTAGTCTCGGTTAACAACAATCCTCCAGCTGTTTTCTCCTCTGCCTCAGCAACCTAAACTCATAAAGTTCAAAACAGAAGTTATCACTGTTCTGGTGTGCAGAAACAATATTAAAATGATGGAAGTAAGCACTTGAGACAAACCTTAATAAAGACTCGGTCATTCAAAGGTTTAAGATCTTTGATGTCATCAGTCTCAAGAATGCCAACAATATCATCTTCCTTGAGAATGAGATGCTTCACATCATTGAATTCAACCTCAGTTCCTGCGTATTTGGAGTAAATAATTTGTGCTCCAGTCTGCATCAGGAGAAAGAAGAAGGCATTTCAGATAAATTTATAAGCAAACAACGATGGAAACAAACAAAGAAGGCTCGAAGGGTAGTGAGGTTGTTACCGGGACAGTGATTTCGATTTTGGTTTTCCCAATAGTTCTTCCTTCACCCACAGCAACGACTTCACCTCCTTGAGGTTTTGATTGAGCAGTAGATGGAAGTAAGATACCTCCTAGAGTCTTCTCCTCTGCCTCCTTGATCTTCACCAACAATCGATCTCCCAATGGCTTTATTGAAGTATACTGCAAATAACCAGAACGAAACAGAGAAATTTATAAGTCAAGACTAAACGAGAAGAAACATATCCAAATGTCTCACAGGGCACCATTAAGATACAAACCACTGCAAACGAAAAGCCAGAAGCATCTAAAGCTTCGTTTCTATCGACATTAGCAAATATAATTGTATAACACACGAATGAATGGCCAAAACATTTAAATGAATTGGTTAAACATACAAACAGCCCCCAAAGTTACCAAACAAAAGTTAGAAAATCGACACAAGGAAGCGAGCAAGTACCTTAGGAGCAACAACCGAAGCAGCTCTGACAACCAAACGACCGAACTGGTTCTGCCTAAGGGTCCCTGGTTTCAAAGAAGAAAACTTGACACTTGAAGCTCTTAGACCTTCCAGCGAAGCTAAGCTCCTAGCTGATACTGTCACTGGTGATGCTGTAAGTTGCGTAGCCGCCATTTCTCCTATCCACCAAACACACACAAACTCTAAATTAGTAGGAATTGAGATAGAGAAAGAAAAATAACCAGAAATGAAGATTTTCTCTCAGATTCACCAGAAACCCAACCACTACAGAGCAAACCCAGTTACTTTATCCACTCAAAAGTTCATACCTTTGTATTCAATTCTAGTAGTGAACCTATTGTATAATCCTAATAGACAGTGAAGAGCGAGCGTGGGTAAGTAAAGGAGGAGAGAGTGATGATACCTTTGTTGAGGATAAGAAAAAAAGGTTGAGACTTTCGGAGGATAAAACCCTAAAAATTGCAGTAGAGAGAAAGAGATAGACTACACAAAAAAACAGATGTACTCCCCTCTTTTTATTGCAGCTAGTGTTCTAGAACGGTCTACCGGGTGGGTTTTTTAGTCTCTTAAACCGGGTTCGGGTCGGGTCTTTACCTAATCCTCTTGCCACACTTTCTGAATTTTCTAGATTAGTAAATCATTTTTGAAAATTATAATAGGCCAAATCAACATCTTTTATGATTTATTCCCATTAAACTACACTAAGAAAAAGAAGATTTGTAATATTATTTTTCTTGTTTTTGGTAGTACGAAAGTTTAATCTTTTAAATTAGGAGAATGTTTGCCTTAACTAGTTAGCTAAAAGAATCATGGTTCAAATGAAGATCTCATTTGTTATCATCTAGCTTAACTCAAGAACATCAATAGTTTTTCCAAAATCTTTTAAATGGATTCTAAATAAGGGAAACAGAAAGAAACAGAAAGAAAAATTAGAATGTAGATGAGTTATATGCTTATGATACAAATAATTTTTTTATATAGTGATAAGAATTTATATACAATTTTAATGGTAATAGACCAATAGTCTATCAGAAATGTGTATAGATAACACAAAATATACAATGTGGTCAGTGTTGATGTATAATGTGAATAGTGTTAGAAAATGTGATAGCCTGATACGGGAATTCTTGTGGTTTTCATCGAGAAACTTCTTTCGTAACAAAACAGAGAAGCATACAGTATATATTGCAGTAGTATTGTTGTTTATTAAAAGGTCATAAAAATAAGCATATGAAAGAAATATATTTAGCTAAAAGAAAATTTTATTCGATCATAATATTTATTTCAATAATCCTAAATCCAGATCCATCTAAAAAAAACCTGGTAGATCAAAAACTAGTACGATGTTATTTAACGGATTGTCTAAATTATTTAAGAAAATTATTGCAACCACTAGCTAGAGCTAAGATCTAATCTAGCACTCCAATTCCACGGCCAATTTCTTAGGTGAATCTCCACAGTCTGAACTAGAGCCAAACGTGTCGGAAGACACATCGATAGTGCAGTTGAGTTTCCCAACACACTTTTCAACCAGGGTCTTCACAGCATCCTTGTCTCCTTGGCACGTACCAACCGCAAATGACCCACAATGCCCCACCGGATTTCCAAAGCTCGCGAATTTAACGGCTGAGATAGCCCGGTCATGGCAGGACAACTCCACTTTGTTGTGTTCGTGAGCCCTCGCACAAACCGTTCCGACCACAACTGTCTTGAAGTTCACCTTGGACGGGTTACCGCCCATTTCTTCGAATAGAGTGATCGTATTGTGTCCGCTCGCGTTCAAGAACGATCGTGGAACGTGGTACCTATAATAGTTCGGCCATCAGAGTAATGGACGGTTTATTAAGCCATAAAAAGTAATAAAGTAACTCTTAGTACCATCTTTGAGTTGGTTTGCCACACATAAAAGCGCATTTGTCGCTACCATACTCCCCACGGTAGTCACATTCATCTTTGCAACCATCATCACTAGAGTTAAAGCTCGGCCAGTAACGTCCAATGCTCTGACCGTTGATCCAAGCCTCACCTTTCCCTAGACCATTAAAGTCTACAATCACTGGATCTTTACCAAGAGGAGCTTTGAAATGTGCCTGAAGAGGTAACATTTCGTTGTATAAGAAACTGTTCATTTCAAGGAATCAAATGATTTACTTATAGAAAGTTATGGATTGATACTGACCTTGTACCATGTTAACATCCGACCAGTAGCAAGCTTTTCGTTTGCCCATTTGACGTGGTGGCGGCCAATAGAGTTTGTACTGAAAAGTTTGTGGTTGTATCCATTCATACCAATCTTGTAGTCCCATTGATGCTTTGATAGATCCTTTTCGATTGTTTCCTCTCCTTTGTATCCGACTAAGGACACAGGACCATTGATACCAGTTGGACCGTTCGCAAAGAAAGGTCCATAATTCTAAATTATAAGAGACCACAACTTCAGTTGTCACAGCTCACAAGATATGTTGGACAAAAAATGTCATAATTAAAAAGCTAGGCTTCACATGTTACCTGTAGTCCAACGGAAACACTGAGAAGTGAAATGTGATTAGTCCCATGAACGAGATTGACCTTCCTCTCAAATCTGTAATCGAATTTCCCGTCCTTTACGAATTGGTGACCAATGTATTTTCCATTGACGTAAGCATGAAGAACATGGGCGTTGCTGTGAACCCGTAGCGACATGTTTCGGCTCCAAAGTGGATCTTTCTTGTCGAGATGAACCCTAAAATAGAAAACCCCATATCAAAACCATAGTACACGAATCAGTTAATACATAAACAGTACAATTGGTCTAGGTGTATATGTTGGATCATAGATATACCTAGTCATGTACCAAAGATAGTCACTAGCATCATTTGTAACGTCTTTTTGGTCTACAAGACCTTTGGCAATAAGATTTCCTCTGCCTTTAAGAATAGTCTTCTGAGCGGACTCCGGTCTCCAGGTCCATTGCAGCATGTGCGGCTTACTAGAGTCATCGGTCATGATGGATGTTTGAGTGTTCACTTTCGCAGTGTTGTAAGCCTCTTTATCGCAGTCGGGAAGAATACTCACGGACCATGCGGGTACGTGGTAGTCTTTCCCGTGGAAGTTGACTAAAGCATCAGCAGTTGCGTTTACATTACCGATGAAGCAGCTCGATCCTTCTTTTGTTGTGTAAATCGTAGCCTTTTTAGAGATACAACAAACGTCCATGTTAATTAATAACGTCAAATCTTTAATATTAGGAAACATGAAGGGGTCTAACCTTGATGGAGTTGCCAAGATCGATTCTTGAAATATTGCCGTAAGTCAACGGTTTCTCAATGGATTTTAATACTGCATGTAGCTGTTTCAAGTGACCCCATTTCGGCTGGTTCAAGTTGCCTGAAAAAATTATATAGACACGTCAAGACCCTATTTTGCCGACATTTTTAAGCCATGAAAATAGTGAAGTTTTTTTTATATACCGTATTCATCAAGAGGAGCATGGTAATCATAGGATGTGGTGATGTATGGACCTCCAGCAACTCTTCCAAAATTAGTACCACCATGGTACTGTAAAATGTCACATTATAAAGATCAATAAATAAAAAGGTTATAAGAGATTGGTTACTTATAATAATGAATATAAAGGAGCTGAATCAAACCATGTAATAGTTTTGGAAAGTTCCTCCGGTTTGGAAGAATCTAGCAACTGAATAAGCAAGATCCTCAGCGGTTCTATAAGGATGTTTGCCTCCCCAATTCTTGAACCAGCCGGTCCAATTCTCTGTCCACATTTTTGGGCTGCTTGGGTTGGTCGGTTCGTATTGATCACAGTAAAAGCCATTGCACGTCTCTAACATAGGCTTAGGAGCATTGGGTTGTTGACACATAAGCCATGGAACACCAATGTCTAGAGAGTTAGCCATGTTGGCACACCAATCAATGTAGGCCTTACCCTCTGCTCCATACGATGAGATCACGTTCCCGTACTCGTTCTCGATCTAAAATATAACCGAACAAGTTAAGAAAATCTCGTTTATAGAGGAAAGAATTTGAACATCAAAACGTTTTTGATGATATAGAGAAAATCTGGTTTATATCAATATATACAGGCTGATTTCGGGTCCAATGGGCCATCCCAGGCTCTAAATTAAGCACCAGAAAACTACACATAACATTCTTTTTTTTTTGGTCACCCAAAAAAACTACACCATAACATCAAGTTATATATGAAAACCTGAGCTAGGATGATTGGACCGCCTTGTGACGCAAAGAGCTTCTCTTCCTTCATCATCTCTACGATCTTTGTAGTAAAATTTTGCATTTCATTCTACACAAAGGTATTTTTACGAAAACATTAGATGAAAAATATTCAAAAATCCGAGAATATAAGAATGGTCTAATAAAAAATATTGGATTATACCATGAAACTAGGGTTTATCGTTCTGAATTTCATGTTGGGCATATTGTGCAGCCAAACCGGAAAGCCTCCATAATTCCATTCTGCACAAACATAAGGTCCAATGCGAAGAACGGAGTAGAGACCCGCGCTTTGGATGGTTTTGATGAAGCGAACAACATCAAGATTCCCCGAGAAATCGTATTCCCTTCGTTTTGGTTCATGTGCGTTCCAAAAAACGTATGACTCGATTGCGTCTAAGCCACCATCTTTGGCTTTGTTGATCAGATCAGGCCACATCTGCAACAAAAATCCACAAAACGTTAAAAAAAATTATAGATATATCTATTACGCATTAAGTGAAAGTAGAGTTACTTCAGCAGTGCTTCGTGGGTAATGAATGGAGCCTGAAATTAAGATTCGGCGTTGTCCATTAATGGTGATGGCTCGTTCATCATGAGAGACAATGGTTGAGTTAGCCAAAGAGAATGAAGTAATGAGGATGAAGAACAACGATAAGAGGCAAGTGAAGTGCTTCATTTTCATTGCTAAGTGTTGTGTTTCCAAGGGAGAAGAAGGTGCTTTTGAAGGGTATTGGATGAGCTATATTTATAGTAGTATTGCACTGATCCACTTTTTTTTTTTATATTAGTTTGTTTCAGTTAAATTAATTTTTATGATTGACTAGCTAGATGTCTAGATAATATTGAGTTGAGAATTAAAACAAACATAAGAACGTTTCTTTAAATTATTTAATTTTTATCATTTCATTACTTATTCAAAATCTCAGACATCATTTCCGGTACTTCTTTTGGATAAAACTACTGGTACTTCTTTTCTAGTTGATAAACTTAAAATAGATAAAATTCAAGTTTTGCATTGAATAATTTTGCGGAAAAGTGGTGGATAGAGTTGATGTGTTTTATGAACTATAATTATACGTATAATTCACTCATATGGAACCGTGAAAATTTCTTGATGAGTTATCCAAAATTGTAATTAATCAGCTTCTTAAAATTGAAGAAGTTGTAGAAAAAAACAAAATTTTTTTTAAAAAAATCTAATTATAGATTTTCAGGATTATAGGATGTATTAGTTATCTTCTATTTTCATATTTTTTTTGTTACTAATTTGACTAGGTTTTATTTGTTTGTTTGTTTTGGATAAGGGGATTGACTAGGTTAAAAACTTTTGGATAATGTACATCGAATAATTAGGGCTGAGAAAAAATATAAACATTTCTTTTTTGGATAGAGTTTGGACAACAAATGTTTGGAAAACTTCTATGTCTAAATTACCTTAGTTACTAATTTTTATTTTTATTTTCTTTTTTGGTTAGAAAGATTTACGGATAAATTTTACTCTTGGTTAAGGCTTAAGACTTAAACTTAAATTAAAGATGATAAGCGGATAACAAATAACGTTCGCAAGAAGTTGTAAATAATTTGGTTCGGTAAAAATGTCTAAATATGAGAAAGTGTATCCCATTCACTTATACCACATGATGATGCGGTCTACTTTGGAAAAAAACAATTCATACTTTCTCAAATCTTCTTTAATTATTGCAATTTGCTACGCATATCACTTCATCTCTATCATGTTGATTGTTTTTTTTTTTTTTTTATCATGTTGATTGTTGATTGTTGAGACTAACTAATTTTGAGACAATATCATAAGGAGAAATTTAAACCATCGAAAATGGTTGAAAATCTTGGGTAAACTCCGAGAAATTACTCTGTTTTAGATTAGACCAAACCACGTTTGTGTCCAAATTAAACATCTAGTGCTAAGAGTTCCACATATTTTCTTTATAAAAAGAGGTTATTTTAATATACACCGTTACACTGTTTTTATAAAATGTGTAAAGATTATAATACTTTCCTAAGCACTAAAGAAAATAAAATTGTGAGTCATTTTTATACCTAAAGCTCAAACATATGAACATATGTTTCTTTTCCGTCAAACAAACAAACGTTGTTGATGGAAGTCGTTCCTGATCTCGACGTTTTTTTTTTTTTGTGTTGACACAGAATTAAAGATTATTTTATCTTTCGAAGGTTTTAAATGCATAAGAGAGTTTTAGATCCCTTATTACTTGATGTATAAACAAATAAATAACATCCCATACTTTATTTTGTAGAGAGCAATGCTGTTTTATAAAAATATCCTAAGATCCGTGAATCGTTATCATAATTTCTGATAAATATTTTGTAAATACAAATGATTTATATATATACTTTTACTACATAAAATTCTCAGAAAATACATATAGCTAGAAAGAGATCTTTTTATAGGGGAATGGGACCATATAATATATATATATATATATATATATATATATACATATAAGAATAAATAATAATAATAAAAACAGTAGAAGTAAAGTAAAAAAATAAAAATGAAACTAATAATAGTGGAGTAGGGTACTGCAACAATCAAGAAATGTAGCTGTTGATGAATGACACGTTTCCACATCTCATGAAAGTGCTCAACGAATCCTCTCTTTATTTAGAGCCCTGTGGGGATCCCATTGTCGTCGATCTCACACTTTTTATTTTATTTTATTTGTGTTTGTGTGTGTTTGGTTTCTATATTTTTTTCTTAAAGCTAAAATTAATTGTCTCTCTGTGGACCACTCTTTCATTGGCACCTCATCTTCTCATATTCGTTTTCTTTTTTAATATCTATACTCTATTATTGATCTCAGTATGTATGTTTCATTATAAATAAGCAATTGTTTAGGGTTTATGTCAGTTTAGCTTATACATATAACAACACTCCACTGAAACTTTGTTTTATTTAGATACTAGAAAGTTGCCCACGCGATGCGTGGGTTATACATGAAATATTAATTAAAAATTATATTAAGTTATATATGTGTATAAGTGTTAATATATGTTTTGAAAATAATTTTAAAACAAAATAATATGTTTATATTCATTATGTGTATTACAAAATAATTAACGCACAAACAAAATTGAACACGATCGCAAAATTAGTATAAAACATATTTTGTGTACATTGTAAATATTAAAAATAAACGAAAAGTATATTTGGAAAATATAAAACTGAATGAGATCTAAACAAAGTAATACAAATTTAGCACATACACAATATACAAAATTAGCACATACAAAAAATTATGAGCATTTGTTACTCACCTTATATTTTATCATAACCTAAAAGTAACTTAAATTTTAAAAATGATCAAGTTAAACTTTTCAAAATATCAAATTAAAAGATTTCATTTGAAACATATGATATATTGTTTTAAACTTTATTTAGAAATTTTTTTCCAATTTAGATTATAAAAGCATTTAAACTATAGTTATGTAAAAACTAAAAAAATAGATCATAAGCCAAATAAACAGAAGAAGATTACATGAGAAATCGATTGTATGTTTGGTCTCTCTAGGAAATAATAACTAAGGGTAGGTATCTGTATTGTTATGAAAAGACAAGTTATTATTTATTTATAACAAATGAGGTTAAGTTACTAAGAGTGTAGACTGAGGTATGATATTCTTGTGTAACTCATACATTATTTATCATAATTTAATAGGATTTTAGTGTTGAATATTAACAAAGAAGATGAACAACAACAATAGTAACTACTTATGACAAATCGATTATATGTACACGACAACAATACTAACTACTTATGACAAATCGATTTTATGTTCGGTCTCTTTAGGAAAAATAACTTTGATAGGTATTTGTATTATTATGAATATAAAAATTATTATTTATTTTAGCAAATGAGGTAAAGTTACTAAGAGTGTAGAATGGAGTATGATATTATTGTTTAATTAAATCGTTATATATCTGTCATTATATTTAGTTTTTGTGATCAAATAGACTATTATATAAAAAATTATAATATTAGTTTAAAATTTGCAGTCAAAGTGTTAAAAAATATATATATACTTGCTTACAAAAAATTGGTCCTTAAATTTTTTCTAAATTTTAAATAAACTAAATATTATAATTTTCTTTATATAATAGTCTATTTGATCACAAAAACTAAATATAATGACAGATATATTAAAATGAATTACAAAAAATATTTGAGATTAAAAAAATAAGAAAAAATTATTTGATAAATGTTTTAAATCTAACTTTTTTTTATATAGCAATCAAAACTGTTATATCAAATTTTCTTGATTCATAAGTATGAAAATATAAGTATAATATAAGTATTTTCTTAATTGTGCTAGCTAATTCTAATTTATTGTGTGTTGAATAAAATTGAGCAGAAAAATATAGCTAATGCAAATTTATATTATTTCAGTTTTTATATTAAAGTGTGAGTTAAGAATTATTTGAATAAGAAAGAGGTAATAATATATTATTTTGGAAATTGTGTTACAATAAAATATTTAATTAGATATTTCATAATTAAAAAAGAAAATGCATATATAAAAATGGATATTTATAACTTAATTCTCTTGTTGTACGATGATTGGAACTAATATAAGATACTATGTTAGATTTGTATCATACTTTCTAAAGATATTTATATCAAATTCTTAAAATGATTATTTCATTGATTTTTATGTCACATAAGAACATAAAAAAATAGAAATAAATATTAAAGATACATGAATATAATGGAAGAGAGGGAGTGAATGTACTTATATGTTGATAATCAAAAATAGAAAATATAGATGAATTTTCAAGAAAAAAAAAAGATAAATTATAATAACATAAGATGTATATCAATATATCATATAGTCTCTAAAAGTTTCTACAGTTGACATTTTATCCCATAATATTATTTTTTTCAAAACTCATACAACAAAAATAAACTAAGCAAACAAATTTCATAAAGAAGAGAATGAGAGAATGAAAGAATGATATAATGAGAGAATGAGAGAATGATATAATGAGAAAATGAGTATATATAGGAAGAGAAGTGATGAGAGTTACAATTTCATAAAACAATTATGGGAGTCAATTATAATTGATTGTGTATTGAAAAAATTGAATGGAAATATAGTTAATGCAAATTTATGTTATTTCAGTTTTTATATTAAAGTGTGAGTTTAATGTATATGATTAAATGTGTTTTGTGGTTTCTTTGTTTTTTTCAGTTTTATATTAAAGTGTGAATCAAATATATAATATGTTTTAAAGTTACATGCCAAGTGGACCAATAAGAAGATGGTAAAATCTTATACATATATATATATATATATA